ACAAATTAAATTCAAGCCAAAACTTTCTGGCAGCAAGGGTTCGGGAAATTCGAAGGCTAAGGTGCATGGACCGTAGGGTGTGGGTGCCCGAAATCGATACAAAGTTCGCTTTGTACGGCATTAAATTCACTTGCCACATGCAAGTGGCACCGCATCACTGCCAGCTGTGGCTTATGAAATGCATTAACAAGGGGGGCAGGGACCCCAAGTCCGCTTTCCGTTGGAAATGGATCTGCATTTTTAACGGCATATTTTAATGCCTGATTTTTAACGTCAACTCGACGCACTTATTGACAGCTGCGACAGGGGCGGCCCAAACCTCCAGCTTGCTGCATATGTCATGCGATACAGAAATTTATTTGCCCCGAAACGGCGCAGGATGCCCCAGCGTATCGAAGGCATAAAAAATGTTTAATTTAATTTTTGTAGCGCCAGAGAAAAATAAGTAATGTGTGCGGACTACGCCTTGACTTTTTACCCACATGTATGTGCATAAAGGCTCGCGTATATTTTGTCATGGCAACCGCTGTTCAAACATAAAACGCTTAAAAAATGTTTATAGGTAAATGTTTACTGTTCACGGTTTTTTCTTGGCGAACATTTCGGCGAGTGTTGGCAAAAGTTATAACTGCTGAGCCTGGCGCTAATCGACGTATGTCAAAATTTGATTGAGTTTTAATGTCGCTGGCTGAACGGCGTAATTGATAATCATTCGTTGGTCAGAGCAGTCGTCAAATGGTTTAATAACTGAGTGCAAGTACCATTAATTGATTTAGTTAAAATTGGTCGAAAAAATGCTTGGCGAAATATTTAAGTATCTGGAAGCGATGAAAAAATGTGAGCCCCAGGATATAAATAAATAAGATTGTGAGCATTATTTTAACAAACAACTCATATAATAGGTTGTTAATAATATCAGCTTGTTAAATGAAACTATTATACGTGGTACAATAATAATGAAATTCCAGTAAAATGAAACGATACATCAATCACGCAAAGAAGAGAGAGCACCAATATTTGCCCCTGATTACCAAAATCTTAAAGTAAAAGTTAAAGGGATGTACCTACTTCCCTATTTCATTTTTATTCAACTGCAGTGCAGCTGATTGTGAGTTGCAACAAGAGATTCACAGGGATACAACCCGTGTGGCGAAGTGAAGGAACCAGGGAGCGATGCATGCAAATTGGACATTGCACTGATGAGCGATGTCCTTCTGCATTTCTGCCTTTCTGTCTGCGCGGTGCACTGGCTTGTTTAATTGCAACTAAAAGCGGAAGCCAACAACAGAGCACGCTGCAAAATGGCAAAAAGAAAGACACGAATATAACGCTCACTGCCCCCTGAACTGTGTCAAAAACAAGGACCAACAGCTGCGAAAAAAGCACAGGACGAGGCGAAACTAAAGATTCGCACACGAGTTTGTTGTTTAGTTCTGTTCGTTTGTTTGTTTGTCGCCCTGTTTGTTTGGCGTACGTTACTTCCTGCAATTTGCACACTGCCAAAGCTTCAACTTTCCTCAGTGGCATTGCAAAAAAAATATATATTAAATGCATACACGTATACTAAACTGCTCGGCCCACATCTACGTATTTAAAGTTAAATATATATTTTTATCATTAAAGCGTAGAGATTTATGCCGACTCCTCAGAGGTATACCCTTTAATTATTAGCCTAATAGTGAACTGAATCTATAATATGAAAATTTATATAGCTATTTATTTTACATATTTATGTTGTAAGTTGTTCAATCGCAGTTCGTTAAGACTAAGAATATACCTACTAGCGATTCATTTCTGATCGATGACTTCAGGCACTATGCTCATATGGAGACGGGAATATCCTTTGAATGTCTGCAGGATGCAGGAGATCCGGCTGGTTGGCCAGGTGAGAAGGGCCGTGTGTCCTGATGGGGCAAACAGAACCGAGTCGGCTCTCCTTTCTGACACACTATTTGCATGTTGCATGAGCTGTCTCTCTCGTTCGCATCCCCCTTGCTCCAGCCCCTTTCTGCAGCCCCTTTCTCCAGCCCCTTTCACCTGTGCCTGGCGCATGTGTCACTTGTCTAAATGGCAGCGACAACGCTCACCCGAACTGGCCAACCGATGGATGGGGCCAGGGGGATGGGAGGGGTAGAGGAGGTGCAAGGGGACAGGTGAAATTTGCTGCCGACTGGCCATGCATGCAAATGCAACATTTGCAACTGTTTGAGGCGCTGTTTTCTCTTCCTATACCCTAACAGCAGGCGTCTCCACCTTTTGAAGCCGGAAGTTGTAAGTATCTGCACTTGAACAGATACTGCATAAAAGTTATACGCTTACTTAAAATATCTGTCAAAGCTCATAGTCGCATGTCATTTTTAATAATAGTTTTCTTTGGTAAGCGTAGTTGATGCTTCGGTTATAGATGCTAGTCTGGTTTTTCTTGTTTTTGCAGTTGCTTTCGCCAACAAGGTGGCAACACTGACACCAAGCAACGACACCAAGCAACGACAACCCTGCTGCAACAGCAAAAACATGTGGCAAGACTACACCAACAACCGGCAGTAATTTGGACACCTTGTCTATGTGTGTTTGCTTAGGCGGGCGATAAAAAGTAGGGAAAGTCGGGAAAAGCGGGTCTAACGGGCAATGAACATCGAGGGAAACGTGGGCAAGGGTCAAAAGCAAATATGAGAGTCTAGACTCTATTCGGGAGCCAGAAAAAATCAGAAACGGCATATTATTCGATATATCACTAGAAGGTCCTTCGGTTTAATTCTCAGAGAAATTGATTTATTTAAGATAAATGCGGGGGAACTCCGAAATGATATGATATGATATGATAGAACTGGTATAAGTACTGTTTTTATTTAAACTTAAGCCACTTACTCCCCAATAAATTTAATTTGTGTTAGTCAGCGAGTCAAGGAATCAATCAAGTTTTTCAACTATTTAACGCGCACCAATTAAAGCCGCACAAAAATGAAAGCCTCAATGATGGCCTTTGTTTTCATCACTCCCATGGCCAGTCAGTCATTGGTTGGTCTATCTGCTGTCTTTATATACATAATTGCGGATGTGTATATCTGTCCCTGTGGGGCTTCCCGCCAGAGCTGCTGATTTTATACATTCAAATTAGTTCGCTTTGCACGAGTGGCCCTCGAATGAGAGAGCGCACTGTGATATTTCCCCACCACGGCTGACTGGCCAGGCAACCAAGCAACCCGCCGGGACACGGCACAACCGGCCCAATCCCACTCCATATATATATATGTCCGGATTGGGGGGCTATCAAGTTGCCTGTGAAGTGCTTATCCTCAAATCAGTGACACTTGAGTGTGCAGCCCAAGTGACTGACCAAGTGGGTGACTGACTGACTGCTGGCGGACCAGAGCTGTCATCTTGGCTACCATTCCTTACGAGTAATAGTAATACACAATAGGTTGGGGTTATTCGTTTTGTTTTAAATATCTGAGGCCATGGACTTCTCCATTCAAAGTGGTATAAACTGCTATGAGCTGCTACTCCTTTGAGGGAAACTCGGCAGCACTGGGCAGCAACCTTACAAAAGTGCGAAGACTTCGTTTCATTTATTTGCTTTGCCCTTCGACCGCCACTTGCCATTTGAATCTGAAACTGGCCAACAATTTGAGTGTTGTTTGTGTCCCTGATTGAGTAGCTAAATAAACTTGTGCCTTTTATTTTATTTCAGGGACTTATGGCTGTAGGGGATAATTGTCAAATGGCTTTCTAGTGTTAGCTAAATAGGAATAACTACAAGTATTTTTACGCAAAATGCACTGATGCAAAATTTCCCTTCAGAAACTAACAAATTAGTCCGACTAACCTATAAGCCGAAAACGCGTGTCTATTCCGCAAAATGGCCAATAAATTAGCGCAAGTAATTTGCGCAATTAACTAAAAAACCGCTATTTGTTTGGTTAGCGAAAATCGCTCTATGCAGCAGCGCGAATGCAATGAATTGGCAATAAATTCTCGGTTCTCGGTTCTCGGTTCGAGAAGTAGAAACTTTCTCCAACCCCTTTCACTTTGTTTTATTGGATTGTGTGGGTGTGTCGCCAGAGTCAACTAATTTATGTTTTAACACACTCGCACATGCAAATTAGCACACGCACAAAATGAATGCAAATATTGGGCTCCAAGGGGGTGAAGCTGCCATAATGAGCTCAAGTTGGGCAAATGGGTCTGGTGAATGGGTCTGAGGTTTTCAGGCGTTCTTTGCGGTTCATCTGGCAACAACTGTTGACAAAATGAAATCAATAAATTTAGCGCAAATCAATTAAAATACACCAGCCAGATTGAATTAGAGTGCTGGGTGCTTTTGGCCTTCTTCTTGTTGGCCAAACGAAAATATTTGTCCATTTGCGGTATGCACAAAATTAAATTTGTCACACACGCACCGGCAAGATGGAATTTCCGGATGAGTTTAGAGCATTTTACCTCACTTTGTGTGAAATTTGTTCAAATTTATTTATACGGCTTATTAAAATTATTGTAAGTTCTGCCATTTAATTAAAAGTCAAACCCTGTTTGCAGCCAGAAAAGCGGAGCAAACGTGACAGTTGAAGCTTGAATCAAATTTATGAAATCGAATTATGGCTGGCTTGGAATTAAGCAGCTTACGGGTTAAGCCAAAATAAGAAGAATAAGCGAATAAAAACTTCAACTAACAATCTAATTGCATTTAAAGAAAATTGTGTTGTGTCTAAAGTGGGGCTTTGTAGTATTAAAAATTAAGTCGGAGGAGCTTAGTTAACTCATTTATTTGGAAATAGTTTCCTTTTTAACTCAGTTTTTCTAACAGCATTTGTTTTTGCTTGTCAATAACTTGTAATAATAGTGCAGCTTTAATCGTAGTAGACTTTCCGTTCCCCATCCAATTTAATCACCCATTCGAAATACTGCCAACACAAACTACTTGATGTAGGCAGACGTGGAGAGAGACACACGAACAAAGCCAGAATAGGTCATTACTAAAATTTAGCAAAAACATTTTCGAAACGACTGCCGTTTGGCCAGCCCTAAATATTTGCCACGGCAAACCTGACAATCCTACAGTTCAAGAAGTGCCCTGCGATAATTGTCACACTGAGCATTTAAGCAGCATAGAAAAGCTAACAGAAAACCCGTCCGGCCGGAAGTCAAATGTAGATTCGAAAAACTATTCAAGCGTTAAGTGCTCTGCAGACCATGTTCAAGGACACCGCCACCGCATCGACCGGCGGATTCGCGCGGGAAGTGGGTGACGCCCCCTCGACTCCCGGCGCCTACCCTCCGCCCATCCCTGGCGCCACGCCCCCCCTCGTCGGCCGCACGCTGGACCGCCGCCTAAACCCCAACGCACCCGAGTTTGTGCCCGACTTCAAGGCCAGCCAGGTGGCCAAAAAGCTTTTCAATGAGTGTAAGTGCTGAAGTTTGCATAAATTTAAACTGGTAGAGTAGCAAAGGCGCCCTAATTGGTAAAGGTTCGAAATTATATGCAATTTACTCTTTAAATCAATATATTGTACATTGTATGTGTATTTTGAAGCCCTTTATATAGGACCCAGTTTTGGAATTGCGATTGATCCACAAATTTGCCTTTAATGTAGTGTCTTCGTACACCCGGTGGAGCACGGCCTCCTCGGAGGACATTTCCTACGGACCGCGTTACGAGTCCATCTGGCGTGAGGCCAGCCTGAAGCAGCAGCATCAGCAGCACCAGCAGCATCTGCCCAATCCGGGGCAATTACAATTCAATTACGACCTGTATCCTGGCGAGGAGGACGTCGGCGAACTGGAGTTTGACGAGGTCCAGGCCATGAATATCGGAGCCGAGTCCTATGATCCCAAGCTGCGAAGCACAGCAGTCAGCCAGGCAATGGTGGTTCCCGAAACTGTGGGCGATGTGGAGGAACCTTTGGATGAGGAGAAGAGGAATGGTTTTCAGAATCGCCACTCCGCCAGACCGACCAGAAGGTGCTGTCAGCTCATGTAGGCCCAAAAAATGGCGAATTTTATTTCTTTTCCATTTGTTTTTACACCTGCATGCAGACTCACTAAAATCTATCCCTACTCTCTAATCAATGCCGACTTTCTTTCCTTTAAGGGATATGCCCTTTAGTAAATAAATACATTTTTCTGCACTGAAGGCAGCTGAAGCTTTCAGCGGGAAGAATTAAATTCTACAGGTATTTTCCAACGGCGTTGCAATTAAGACGCCTTTCAGAACTTTCTAAATGCACTCCTTTCAAGCCCACTTACGGCAGACTGAGCGAAAGGAAGCTCCGTGGAGAAAGGTCGACTATACCTATGACATAATTTATAGCCTACATTTTAGCGCCCTAAACGGGTTTGTTTTACTTTCCACGAAGGCTCTTGCCTTTCTGCCTTCAGCTACTTTGTCCTGACTTTCTAATGATGTTGAATATGCATGAAAACTTTTGCCGCACGCAGAATTTTCCTCCCAGGATGGCAGCTGAAAGCTGATTCACCTGTCTATGGGTTGCATGGCTGCAGGACTGCCTTCAGATTTAAATAACACTGCGAATAATTTACCTTAAACAATTCGTTTTATAGCATCTGGAACCTTTTTGGGACCACTGCGAAATACTTATTTGTGGCATTGCAACTTTTATTTTCATAGTTTTTCACTTTAGTTGAAATATTTTCTTGGACTGCACACTTTTGCATTGTCTGTTAAGCAAAGTGGCGACAACTTTCCGTTTTTTCGCTTCTTGATTATTTTAGTTTTACTCGTTTTTTGGATAAGGAAGGAAAACTCATGAGGGGTGTGGGTGCTGCAGTGTGTGTCTAGTAATGAGAAAACTTTCGTGTCCTTGCGATGTCTCATTTAGAGCTGTCCGGACCCTGATGTCTGATGTCCTGAGCCAAGGACAACGCAGCTGCCCACGACTTTTGAATGATAAGCGCGGCGAAAGGACACGCAGTGCAGTCCCATCTGCCGCTGCACAAATGCTTGGCGGAAACAATTACCAACTCGTATGCAAAAGTGCCAAATTGCCAATGGAGCTTCTCCATGGGCGAAACTTTCACGCCGCTCAATGTCAGCGGGACATGTGAGCAAAAGGAGTCGAAAGGAGTACACCTGGGCCCCCCAATTTTTGGTCCTTTGGCAGGGATTCGCCTGGCAATTTTGTGCCAATTTTCTGCGCCTTCTGTTTGTTTATGAAACAAGTCACGTAAGCGACGAAACCCGTTCGCTCCTTTTGCCCCTTTTGGGGGCGTTGAACTGGCAGCTGGCTAAGTGGGCGTGCCATCACCTTGTTTTCGCCCCTATTACTCTCACCGTTGTTGTTGTTTCGTCCTGGGGCGATTGTCATTGGAATCGAGAATTCAGCAATTGGCAAACGTCACGAAAGCGGCTAAAAGTTTTCACGATCTTTCGCGCCCTTTCGCCTGATTGTTGATTTCGCAATCCATTGTTTTAGCCCGTTTTTGACTGCAACTTTGTCCTTTTTTCCGAGACTTTTGTTGGCTTGTTTTGGGTTGCTGTTTATTGCATGAAATTTATGTCCGTATATTGTGCAATTGAAAAAGTTTGTCACATTTCTGTGATTTTCCGCCCCTATCTTCAGTGGGACAGTACGTTTCGGAAATGTATGTATTATGACATTTCATTTTATATATTATATCATAACAATAATACCATAAATAATATTTTATGTATTATTTTAATTTAATTGCATATCATTGAAGCTGTATGTGTGTAAGACGACTTTCCAATTACGAAACGCACGGTATGGGACTGTAATAAAATGTTAAAATCAGGAGAAACCAAAGCCGCTGGCATAAACCATTATTTATGCATCGATTTCAAATCACCAAAACAAAACAGAACGGATTGGGCCAGAAAAAGAAAGTCCCAAATAAACACAATGGCAATCGGAAGGCGGCAAATAAATAGACAACACAGGAATATGGGCAAACAATGCCTGCAATAAATATCCACACATGTGTGCAGTGCACACAGTCGGGTTGTCTTTATGCACCTATAAATAAATTCATTTTGTGATATTTATGCCACGATATGGCAACGGCTAAAATGGCAATCAGTTCAATGACCAACAAAAGTTTGTCTTGTCTTGCAGTTTTTGGTACTGGCTAAGTACCCTGTGTGACTTTTAGTTCCTAGGTATCTTAGGCAATCCGAAAAGCATTAATATATCAAATTTGAGTCAATGTCAAACTTGTTAACTACTCAATGAGCTACTTATTAAAAATTGTATCCTATATCTACTAAAAAAAACTTTTTGCCATGCTTAATAACAATTTGAGGGGTATGTGCCCCACAAGCCCAGCCAAATTTGTAGGATACTTTTCCTGTCCGTTTTCAAAGGGTTTTTCCCTCGGTCCTTTTTCACTTTTGCCCTCTACTCCTTTATCCACCTCTCCCTTTTAGTTGGCAGCACTTTTAGTTAAATTGAGCAACAAACACGTTTGGCAATAAAAATGATTCCACTTCCAGTTGCTGCTGCCACGCCCCTTCGCCTCCCATGAGGACCCCCCCACCAAACACCCACCGCCCCCTTCAAACATCTCCGGTTTGGAGTCCGTTTCGAAAAATGCAAGCCGCAATGCGCTGGCAGTGGAGTTTTGCACATTCTAACAGATTTATTTCACTCGAAATAGTTTCATTTCAGTTGCATTATTGTTATTGTTTGTTCGTTGTTGCTCTTACTGCTGTTATTGCTATTGTTGTTGCCGCTTGCCAGAGTGACTGCGGAAAGTTTTTCTATTATTTTCAAATTTAACTTTGCCATTTGTTTGAATTTCATGGATACACGTACGGACAGCTGAAGTCGAAAGAATAGAGCTGGAAGGGTTAACAATGTAAAGGAATCAGCACTTCACCTTTCTTATTTTTACCGCACTTTTACCTGAATTGGTTGCCTATTTTTTCGAGCCTCTTGCATATTTATTTATTTCGAAGTTGCTAAGCGAATGACCACATGTGTATATCTGTGGTCTAGTTGGTGTGGATGTGCGTAAAGGGTTCCAGGCAGCGAGTTTCAGTATTTACCAAGTTTTTCCTATCGGGTGCGTTGCTCTTGGTTTTCTCCAATATGAAATATATTATCGATGTTCCCAACTTTTCTCAACTGTGCAATTTCCACTCAACTGTTCTCAGTTTTCCACTTCGCACACACATATACACATATTTCATAGCATGGGCGAGCTGACATTTCAGAATTTTGGCAACAGGTTGACAGAGCACAATATATTGTAATAGTTGATGCATACGAAAGCTTAACTGATATTTGGCAAATACCAATAAAAAATCAAAGTATTATTTATCTCCGAAGCTTTAAGAAGACCAAAAAGCTTAACTGACATTTTCCAAATACCAATCTGCAGCTTTAAGGAGACATTTGCTACGATAGAAAGAATATATTTTCCTGATCAAACTAGCTTCCAATCTTCATGTGATTCCTAGAACTCAGAATATTATCCTCCATGAACTGAGGCAAAAAGCCTATATTTCACAACCCTACTACTCCGGACAATATATCAAGTAGAGTCCTACCAAAGCTACCTGCATTCTGCGATATACTCCTTTGACCAATGGTTAAACCCCTTTCCGGCTGAAATGTGATAAATTGAAATTACATCCAGTTGCAAAGCAGGAACGCAATGCGCAGCATTTTTAAGCCGTTTGTTGATGGGGTGCACCTGTCCCTTTTTTGGCCTAAATCGGGGTCAAAAGTCGGGCCTTGCCGGGAAAAACTTATTTATAGTGCTCCGTGCGATGGCGACGCAATTTATCGTCATTAGTGCGAGCCGCAAACGAAATTTTCACTTGAAAATTTCACGAGCTAAAATGAAATGCCTGCGGTCGTCAGCGGTTTGTTCGACTCGCTTCGGTTCTGAATGGTCTGTCCTCGTTGCTTGTTAATCAAAACACACTGAATAAAAATCGGTTATCAATTATTTCAGTTATTTTTTTCCAGAATATCCAAAATAAAAGCGTACGTACAGCACATACTTTTTGCTATATGTTGGAACACCACTTTAAAGTTCCATATTTTAATGGATGTAATCTTTGTCGCTTACTTAAAATGTACAAGATGCTTTATAAAAAGGTTTGTATTTAATCTTGCTTTTTATTAGCCAAAAAAGAATATGTAATGGAACCATCATTTTGCATTTTCCAGTGTAGGGAGCAGGATAAGGAGACGACAACCGCGACGACAACGGTAATGATGATTACTGACGGTTTTAAATCATTCGCTAATTATTGCAATTGTTGCTCGCCTTCGGTGTCCTGCCCCGTTGTCCTGCTCCTGCTTCCCCTTTATACTCGCATATCCTCGAGGCTCGACATCGCTGATGACGTTCTCAGCGAATAATTGATGATGGGCAGGCGACTCACACTGGTAATCAAACACCCAAAGAGTTGATTCGCTTTTTGAGAAATTCAAGTGACCGCAAAGCAAACAATTTCCCGGTGCAAAAAAAGGAAAATCACCCGCCAGGAATCCGGAGAACTTAACCACTGCACTTTGCCCGTACATTTGCGAATCCCCACAGCAATCAACCTAATTTATTACGACTCCCCGAAACCCAGTGAAACTCGAACCGCAGCCAATGACTGTCATTCATCTATGAATGTTAATAATTTCCAGCGCCGTTTGGCGAAATTCAAAATTCAACAGCCACACCACTGCATTGCATTTCATTTGGCTGTGAGTTTTTGTGGCTGCAGCCGTGGCATTCACTCTGCGGCTTTTATTTCCTCGGTTGCTTTGAAGCCCTTGAGTCAGCCAACAAAAATATTTTAAATTAGCCATATTTTATTTCGGTCGCGGTTCCATAATTTGAGAGGGCTATATCATGCCATTGAACAAATCGAAGTGAAGTGGCTGGTACTCGAAACTTATTAATCGTGAAGCACACTGGCAAAAAATTCGTGTTAATTAACAGGTCTTCTTTAAAACAAGTTTCCAGCTGGTTATGGCCGTCCTCTTGATTGAACCATTTGTTCGCTAATTAACAGTGCCG